GCTTCTACACTCGACAATTCGGGATGAGGTCATGTGACATTCTTTTTATTATTGAAATAACTTAAGGAAGAATATCAATACAAGATTATTGATAACAGCTTATATTTCTTAGCCACTTGATAACATAAGCCTACCAACATATCAAACCGCGAGGATGCCATTTTGGATGAGCGTTATGACAGATGTATAATAATAATTTGTATTCGAAACAAGAAGATTTTAAAAGTAGACAAGGAGAACATTTTTTTCTGATTGTGGGAATAATCTAAATGAATGCATTATGCAAGTAATATGGATTCAATTGAGATTGTGTAGAATACCAATCCATGGCAATTGCATTGGTTGAAAGCATTTGTTAAGTGAATTCTAAATGCGTACTTTCTACGTGAAATTAGTCAACACTAATATATGATACGATTATATGATGGTAATAACACACTTATCTTATGGCGAATATAATCACAGGTCATATTGAGAACTGTCAAATTGATTTTTGTTGTATAAATCAACCCAGATGCATTTGAACTTAAATTATGTTCCATTTTTTATCTCAACGTAAATGAAACATTTGTATTAGTCATAATACGCCATCCAGTATTTGTTTAATTTGTGTATCAAACCGTGATCAGAATAGAGAGTTATGGGCAATCCGTTGACATCGAACCCAGTTAGTAAAAAATGACATATAATTATTGAGTTTGTATTAAAAATTTAAGGAGAATAATCTGTATTCGAATCAAGAAGATTATTTTGTTATTCGTATTGATTTTAAATCAACGCCTGATAACTACATAGCTGAAGTTACGTTACTAATTTACTGCTGAGCAAAGATTGAACGAAAGCTGCATACATATTTCAATGCATATAGAGTAAATTACGCAATATCACGTGACGATATCAAATGCATGTAATGATGCTATGGGAGAAATGCTGTTATATTGACATCATTTTAATAAAATACATAATTTAAATTGTTCGTATAGTCTGGCGGGATCACGATTGTTAACAATACAATAAGTAAAATATTGAGGTCATTGTCAACTCAATTGTTAGTTTAGGGTCAGTTTCCCACTTTAATGAATGAAACAAATCATTATTGAGTTTCAAGTTTATTTATAGCTTTACTTTATACACGCATGGTTGACGTGAAAAATGCTCTTAACAAAACAAGCCAATGACATAATTGTTAAATACAAAGAGACTAATAAACTCTGATATAGTATAACTTTCGCCCAATCAGTCAAAAACATTTATTGCATTCACATTGTGAAGTTATCGCTCATTTCCGTTTATTGTATTCGCTTCACATATTGAGATGATCTCATATAGAAGCGCAATTTTCGATGATATACGATATACTTTTTTAGATTTAAACGAATTATAACTGAGTGAAATATCAGTAATTATCAAAAAAATAATTTAGATTTACAATTATTTTTTTCAAGCATTGAACAGTAACAATTGAATAAACAAGTAGCCTCTGATATATGAATATATATCTCATTTGTATGTCACAATGTTTGCCGACTAAAATATGTTAATGAGTTTCAAGAACACTTATATAGATTATACACACTTATGTCATCAGAAACGTACACTCAAAACATCAGCTGACCAGATTCACTTTATTAGTTTTCGTATATTTGCGACACCGTGTAAATATTCCTGTGTTCGTGTCACAATACGTTTATTTATTTAATTTATTTCATTCCAGATTATCATGACTCGGCTTACATTTACATAAATCTAATTTAATCACTGTTTTTTAGTAATACTACGGATGATGATGAACAGTTCGAATGAATTGAAATATGTGGGAAAGCGATGAGACATGGTACATCTTTCTATTTTCCAAATAAATATTCTATTAATTATTGATTTATGACTGAAATAATAATAAACACATAAGCTTTTAATAAGTTGGACATAGCACCTGGTCAAATCAGTGTTGTATGTCATAATTTCGGATTTTAATGTTCATCAAACTTCATGGGTTTAACTAAAACGGTGGTGAAACCTACGCATAATTATGTACGCAAGTTAAACGTGAAATGCCGGCATGTTAGATTTACAGACGTTTAGTTATACGGTTGTGAAAAAACAACAAGCCAACTATAAATACCATCAGACTAAGAAGGTTGCCATGAATTGAGGTCAAAATGCACACAGCAAATACACCATGGTTGCAGTGGTTACGATTTTGCTCACACAGTGTCTGAACTGTGGGAATCAAATTTGCATATCAAAGGTATTGAGGACATGAACCTAAGCTGTCAGTCATTACTTCAAACACAATTGACCTGTGACCTGTATTTTGTTGCGCATTCCACGGTATTTAAATATCGTTGCTGAGCGGTTGGTATAAGGTTTACGCATGCGTTTCTATTCAAGTATGACATATAAACATAAACAATCTTCATTATGAGATGTTCACATATAAAATAAATATTTACGCTCATTTATATATGTGTCGTACTTATGTGGTTTACCTCATGGAATGATAGGATAGGGAATAAAAGAAGGTATGTGTAACTCATATTCATAAACAAATATTAGGTAAAGTTAAAAAATTGTCCTGGCGAAACATGTCTAAAGTTTTAACATCAAAATCTGGAGGTGTGGAGACATTTGGTATGAAAGTATTAACAAATATTTGGCTTTTGCCATGGCAACGGTGCGCAACGTATGAAAAAAAATCACCCACTCAAAAAATCACTGAAAAAGTTATTACGTAACGACGACAAACATTGAGATAGACAGACACACACATTGACTGTAAAGCCAATCCTCCCGGAGCGGATCGCCAATATTCTACGCTACAAGCAGGTTGTTGTGTGACGGTCAAAGTTCATGAACCCGGAACGTTCAATTCAATAAACCAACCCGGGTTTAATGAAGTATCACCATGTTTACTATCAGTGTTCTTGTTATGTGTGCTATTACATGTAAGTATATATTTATATTATTCAGTGATCTGCAGTAATAAATGTCATCCCAATCCAAATATCTCTATATGAGTTTTAGGTTTAATTCACAAACAGGACAGACACATGTAAACATACCTACTATGTATACCATATACATAATGTGTTATATGTATATGTATATAAAAATCAAAATGTCATTTGTGTCACATTAACGAAAAGCACTGTTGATTAAATAAATCGTTGCGTTATGTTACAGATGGCCGATATTTTGTAAGGCGTTTTTTTGTAACGAATTGTATTGCTGTGAGCAAATTCTTTATAATTTAAGATCATGTCATTATATGGCTCTATACTGATTACATTACGTTGTCAGCCAGCATAGTTATTCTTTGTTTAATGTTCAATGATTGTACGAATCACTTTGCGTAATTAATGATTATTCTGTAACTAATATGAACGTGTCTCTTGTGTCTATCTATGTATTAACTTTTCCATAAGATAATCGCTTGTAAACTCGTTCGTACATTGTAGTCACACTTGATATATTGACGCACTGTTATGTATTTGGCCATGCTGTAACAAGAACGCGCATTTTATACAGTTACCAGAACCCTCAAAAGAAGGTGAAAGTACATTTTGACGGCTTTATTTTTGGAACCACTTGACATTATGAATTACAAAAACTCAATAGTGACCGAGTGACTGACTGAGTATAAATGGTGCATTCTTGAATTTTTAAATTAATCATATACACAGTTATTAATTATTTGAAATATACATAACATAATGTTTATATATTTCAGCATCTATGGCAGTTACCATTATTGTACCTAGTTCCCATGTCACTAGTATCGAGACCATGACAACAGTATTGGAATGTAAATATATTACAAGTGGTATAAATATATTGGTATCATGGTATAAAGGTAGTACACATCATCATAATATAATTATACAAGCACAGAATGGTGTAGTCTATCCTGAACCGGGATTTACAAGACATTACATTGTAGACGAAGCTAGTTTAGTTATAACTGATACACAATTGAGTGATAATGGAATGTATTGGTGTCAAGTCACAGTAGTACCTTTCGGCAGTGATGAAAAACCACTAACACTCACAGTAATCGGTGAGTAAAGTTAGTTTTACATTGATTACATCTACACGTTCATTTACACAACAGCAAAATAGTGTGAACTGAGACGCAATTGAGTGATGCTGGAATGTATTCGTGTTACGTCGCAGCATTTGGTGATGGCTTTAATGAGAAATCAATCAGACTCACAGTAACAGGTGAGTAGATTTAAAAGACGCGGTTGAGATGTGTAATTTTGCAACAAATACAGGTCAAATACCTACATTATTTGGTCATGCTCTAATCACATTGCGTCTATTCATACTACTATACTAGTTTTCTATCCGGCAGAGTTATACACAGGTTAACGTGTTTGCATCTTGCGAAGCTATCTATCATATCCTAACTGTAATTCCCTGGCCTTTGTAGTTATCTATATGATTCATAATAATAATAATAATAATAATAATAATAATAATAATAATAATAATAATAATAATAATAATAATAATAATAATAATAATGAATAGTTTCCAAATTCAAATAAAACTATTTAGCTATATTACTGTTTGAAGCACAAGTGATCATTTCCTTGAATCGGAAAAATAATATTAATAGTAATAATTGTAAATCGTATGCATTTTTGTCTGACAATTATATACACTATCAAAGAAATGATGTTCACCGCCATCTCTAACACGTCGTTTTCAGCAATGATGACTGGAGGCAAAATAATGTCTTTTCAACGCTGAGATGCAAGCTTGACATACACTAATCAGAGAAAAGCAACGAGTTACCCTTAGTTATATATGTGTAATGTGCCTAATGTTTAACCAGAAGATTCTGAAACTCACGTATTGTATTATATAGTTGACATATGTCTACTCGCTGACTGCAAACGTCTAAGCACTGGCATACACATGTTTAATCTGAGCCACCAGATTTCAGTGATAGTGTGACCATACTCGATGACGTTAAAACAATGTTGACATTGATATGGGATACAATAATCTCCATCATTGTGACGTTTTTATACTATACATACCCACAGATTGTACGTTGTATTTTTTTGTACATTCTCCACAGTAATACACATGATTATCACTTTAAATTTGGTTTGTCCGCATGACGCATGCTGTATGTAAGGATGCAGCATGATAACTGTGTCTAAGTCTGAGTGATACACCCACGTGCTGTGCATCAGTGCTTATTATCATAACAGCGTGTCCTTTCATTTATTTATATACATAATCGAGTACGTAATTTTGGAATAATTAAGAATGCTCCAGCAAACAATCAACATCACAATCACCCAGAATGCATTACACGCTAAGTAGGTTTAAATATTATCATGAAGGAAATCACTTAACCAAATCAATATTATAATTCTTAAATATATTAACCTGTGAAATTATATTTGCTTCTTAGCTGCGACAGAACCATCTCAACCTATTGTAAGATTCAATGATGACAGTAATCCATTCAATGAAGACGACGTAATCACAATGACTTGTACATCAACTGGTATTCCCACACCAATATTCAGTTGGTTAAGAGATACCCAACCATTACCAGCACTGGATAAATATCAACTCAATGCAGATGGGACTGTATTAACTATCAATACATGTGACCAAGACGATAATGGTAGAACATTCACATGTCAAGTGTCTAATTTTAAAGGAAGTAAAACAGACGATATTGCTCTGAATATTAGATGTAAGTAATCTTTATAAAACATATTATACATAAACACATACTCTGGCATTTCATTTACATTCTATGGTAGAGAAGAGAGTTCACTGACCATACCTGGAATAGCACGGGTTGGTATATTTATGATAATTGTCATATTAATTGTTTTGTTAAAACATCGCAAAATTGTTTCATTACATAGGCTAATATTTGAAATGACTTTTGCATTTTATCAATGTGCTCGGGATTTTTGAAAATTGTAGACGACAAGCAATGTGTTTACACTATTGTCAATGAAGTAATATGACATCATAAATATTTAATTATTTTCATTTGTATGAACCTGATTTATATTGAATTATAAATCATCGAATCTTTCATCACAACGGCTTTTTAAAATTAAAACTTAAAGTGCATGACTGACGTCAGTATATGTCGAACTATTGATAAAAGCCAAATCAATGATATTTAATGAAATTATTCTCCAAGAGTATCACTTTGCTAATATCCATCTATGACACTTGAATCTCAAAGAAACTCTTCCTTCAATGTCTACTAAACATCTAAATAGAAATGATAATCAAGTAATGTATACATGTAAAGCTAGTAATATTGTACAAACTACACATTAACATGTCAACTTGAACCATTCAATGTCTATTGTAAGTATATCTTATATATGGAATCTAAATAGAAATGATAATCAAGTAATGTATACATGTAAAGCTACTAATGTTGTACAAACTACACCATTAACATGTCAACTTGGACCATTCAATGTCTACTGCAAGTATATTTAAATATGTCCAATCATTAAGTCCACATGTTCTTTTACAGTTCCAACAGAGAGTGTGACATTATCTGGCATAACCGATCCATTGAAGGAAGGTGAAACTAAAATACTGACTTGTACCACATCAACCAGTAATCCAGCATCTCAGATATCATGGTTAAAAGATAACAATGTATGGACTGCTAATACATATGAATCTATTACATCTGATGTTACAAGAGATGGAGATTATAATGGTAAAATAAGTGAACAACAGATGACAATATTCATAAAAGCAGAACATAACAATAAATCATATCAATGTCAATCAAGTCATACAGACTTTACTGGTCATGTGACATCTACTGTCACTGACCTTACTGTGTATTGTAAGTATCATATATTTGTTTATATTGTGGCATTCACAGTGAGTCTTAGATGCATTTTTGTGTTTATATTTAATAAATGTGATATTACTTTATGTGGATTACATAGTTAATGTCCTTTTACTAGGAATATTATTTCATAAACTCAAGATGTAGCTATCGTATTTATCCGGGTAAGCGCCAATGCCCGGGCAAACACTCACTCCCAATTTTGATATAATAAAGAAATTGAGGTCATGCCCGGGCATACGTCCGGGGGGTATTTTTCTACATTTGTATTAAAAAGAATAACAAAAACCTGTTGTGTTTTCGTTGTATTAACAATTGACTTCCTTGTAGAACTAATTTGTAGAAATCTATACATAATTACCTAATTTGCATAACAACTACCCAGTTTTCCAAGTCCAAAACAATTATTGAATTTCAAGAAGAAGTGATATAATAGTGCATGGGAACATTGTTAAAGATTTGTTTTGGATTAAGATTCGAGCAAACAAATTGCATATGGCAGAATCATATATTATTGAAATTTGGTTCATAGACTCTCTGCGGTACAGACATGATTAGTTCGATGGTGTAAAACATGAATATTGATTATTTAATTATTATCAGCCGATTTAGGATCTCAAAAACTGAAAACCACAGATAAGTATATAAACTTCAACAATGTAGATTGCATTGTTTTCACGTTGCGCATCCCAAACAGCAGACATATATTAATTACCAAGCTTCTTGTTTGAAAGGCTAATCTTAAGCTATTTTTAATTATTACTTTTCTGAAGGATGACGATTGTATTATGCAGATTGATTTTATTTAGTTTGAATATGAATGTGAGCCTTCTTGATGCACGACATGCATTTCCCCATATTTTATTTGTTGTTTAGTTAAACCACCATCAGTGAGTTTAAGTGGATACAGCACTGCAGTAAAGAGTGGTGATATGTTGACATTAACCTGTGAAACTGACAGTAGTAATCCTGCAGCTGTTATATCATGGTATAAAGATGGTGATATATTCACTGGTAATTCAGATGAAACAATATCAGATTATTCAGAGATTGATGGTGATAATGGTGGTACAATAAGACAACAAGATTTAGAAATAAGATTACTGCCATCGCATAATATGGTACAATATCAATGTAAAGCTGTTACTACTGAGATTAATAGTATATCAGTAGATTCAGCCACTCAACAAATCACTGTATATTGTAAGTATTATTCTACACTATACATACATACAGTATTAGAGTTGACTAATGATATGGTATAATATCAATGTAAAGCTGTTACTATTGAGGTTAATAGTATATCATTAGATTCAACCACTCAACAAATCACTGTATACTGTAAGTATTATTCTACACTATACATACATACAGTATTAGAGTTAACTAATAATATGGTATAATATCAATGTAAAGCTGTTACTACTGAGGTTAATAGTATATTAGTAGATTCAGCCACTCAACAAATCACTGTATATTGTAAGTATAATTATACACTATACATACATACAGTATTAGAGTTGACTAATGATATGGTATAATATCAATGTAAAGCTGTTACTATTGAGGTTAATAGTATATCAGTAGATTCAACCACTCAACAAATCACTGTATATTGTAAGTATTATTCTACACCATACATACATACAGTATTAGAGTTAACTAATAATATGGTATAATATCAATGTAACGCTGTCACTACTGAGGTTAAGAGTATATCAGTAGATGCAGCCACTCAACAAATCTCTGTATATTGTAAGTATTATTCTACATTATACATACATACAGTATTAGAGTTAACTAATAATATGGTAAAATATCAATGTAAAGCTGTCACTACTGAGGTTAATAGTATATCAGTAGATTCAGTCATTCAACAAATCACGGTATATTGTAAGTATTATTCTACACTATACATACATACAGTGTTAGAGTTAACTAATAATATGGTACAATATCAATGTAAAGCTGTTACTACTGAGGTTAATAGTATATTAGTAGATTCAACCACTCAACAAATCACGGTATATTGTAAGTATTATTCTATCAAAATCTCTGTATATTGTAAGTATTCTTTTGTGTTTGGGTTTCATATCTGCAGTTTTCAATTTAAACTACATTATTCATTTTCATATACATTATTTATTTGTTTTGTTAATTTATTTATTTACATACATTATTTATTCATTATCAAATATTATGTGTTTGTTTGTTTATTGACACACAGTATTTGCTTGTTTATTTAAGTTTCTCCTAGTTATTCATCTTCATGTGTAATCCAACTCACCGGTTATCCTAGTAACATAGACCACGTGATGGAAGATGACAATTTAGTCCTGACATGTACGTCATGCAGCAGTAACCCAGATGCAGTATTAGAATGGTACCAAGACAACCAACCAATCAAGGATAATCTTAACTCAATTATGTATACCAATGGCGAATTCAATGGGAGAAAAACAACACAAAACTTAAGCCTTGTTTTATCATATCATCACCACAACAATGAATTATATTGTGTAGCTGTCAATGACGAGTTTGATAATTGCGTATCTACGTCTGAGCCAGTGAAATTGAATGTTTATTGTAAGTAATATTTAAAAGGTTCACAAGTGTTGATCACATGACCCGAAACTCAAGTAGTGATAAACCAATCATT